ATTTAACACCAACACCAAAATTAATATTAATTTTTATATTTTTTTATATATATTTATGATAAAAATATTTTTAATTTGTGTCCTAAAGGTACATGGTAAAAAAATTATTTATTCATTTAAGACATATGATATTAAATGTATTTACTTATTTAATGATATATGAAAATTGTATAAAAAATTATCTTTATATCACAAAATTTGAGAAAAGAAAACAAAAGAAAAGGAAGTCTCGAGTGATGTAATGATTACTTTTTTCTTTTCTTTGGCTATTTTTTTTTTTAATATAAGGACAATGTTTTTATATTTTTTTATATAATTTTTAAATATTATTAAATGAGTAAATGCACGTAATACCATAAGTTTTAGATAAATAAAAGAATTTTCTAATAAGGCATATGTTAAGGGTATTTTTTTTATCATAAATGTATATAAAAAATGTAAAAATTGATATTAATTTTGATGTTGATATTAAATTGATAAATTTAATTAAATAATTAAAAAATTAAAAGTTAACTTTTATTTTTTAACATAAATTTATTAAAAAAATGTAAATAATATGTAAAATTATAAAAAAAAAATTATTCCTAATTTTTTGTCTTTTTTTACACTTAGGTGAACAAATTAAATACAAAAATCCCTTGCCACCTACGGATGAGATGGCCATATTTTGTCACACGAGGCAGTCCTTGAAAGGGCAGTTAATGGCAGTTAACAGCAATTAACGGCAGTTAAGACGGCAGTGAGAGTAAGGGCTCAATCGCTTCGGTTGCAGAGTTCAGGAGCTTATATGCATCAATTAAAGTCTGAGCGCTTAATAGCGATTCTGGGGTTAGTTGAGGGGCTTAAGTAATGGTTTTGCCAACTATGGACGAAGTGCTTTCTATCTACTTTTTCACTTTGAAAAAAAGTGACCCCACTGCAACCACACGTGGGAATGCGATGGGTTAGGCGTTGCATTATTGGCTAAGGGCAAAAACAATGCAGCGAGGCCAACTGCGGGCCCAATTGTTACTGATACAGGAAAATGATAATAAAACTACACAGAAGTTTAAAATTTTCTGCTGCAAGGACTAATTTGCCTCTGTCATGACCAAAATCATCTTCGTCCCCTGCTTTTCAATTTGGTGAAGTTTCGAAGACACCTTCCTGCATTGACTTCAAGTCAATTCCATCGTCAATGGCAATTTGGTGAAGTGTGGATGACACCTCCCTCGTGCATCGACTTCAAGTCAAGTCCATCGTCAACGGTAATTTGGTGAAGTTTCGACGACACCTCCTGCATCGACTTCAAGTCAAGCCCATGGCAATTGGCAATAAAAAATAATGAGTAGTTTTACGTTCTCTAACCTCTCTCGACTAGAATCGGTGTATGTGCACTGGGAGATCCACGCAAACTGTTTCTTACCAAAAAA